ATCGGTATTTACTTTACAGTTAAACTCTCAATACTGTAAAATAAACTGAAATCACAGTATTTAATTGGTATTTATTTTACAGTAACTACACCAATACTGTAAATGGAAGTACAGTATGTCTACTGTAAAACATATTTACAGTAACTTGCTGGTTAATTGTTGCCAGTAAGTTACTGTAAATTTGAAGGTAATGTTGTTACAGTGAGGTATTGTCACAAAGATCTGACTTTCTTGCATTGGATAACACTAGTGTCATAATGAAATCATGACAAAGCCATTAGTGTTGTTACGCTCGTGAACGTTTAGTTCAATATGAACTAATCTTTTATCTTGTACATTATTCTGTGGTTATTAATGGTGTGATCATGTACACTAAATGATCAATTATTCTCCATTACAGGTTGTTCTGATATATTTGAGGAGTCGTTCTCCCTCTGTTCTATATGTGGACTTGTTCTCTCATTTGGGACCACTGTTAGAATTTGGTAAGTTTATCATGTAGTTTTTAATGTTATTCATACTTCATAATTATAATAATTTTAAAAAAGTTTTAAAAGAAACGCACATCCAAAAAGTTTTCAACTCTAGGTGCAGGACAGAGGAAAACATTGTCTTTATTTTTCAGAATTAATAATGTATCCAATAATCTCTCAGGCTGACCACTTGACATGTGAGAGCCTGAGGAGTGTGAAGAAACATACTATATGTGTGATAAAATGACAATTGGTAATTCATAAATGTCTCTTTATATTCTCTGCTACCATCATCTCCTGTCAAACAGGTTTTCCTGACCTGCTAGAAGTTCTTCTATGATGCTTGAGAGAGAGAGAGAGAGAGAGCGCTTCGTCTTGACTTTGTGAGTTTATTATGATTCAATAATTTGATTAATTATTGAAGATTTTCAAACATCTGCATATCTTTTAAGTTCAGTTAACAGTTATGCAGGTAGGCCTTAGGGCTCTTTTGAGACTTCAGTCATCCTTCATGACAGAAAAAGTTGTTCACTAAGTGTCACTACATCACAAAAAGGCTACATGGCTACACATACTTGTCAGTACACAGATACTGAGTACAAGTTCTGTTTGCTGTTTCTTGCAGGTCATGAATTTGGTGAGGAGTGGAGCTGGCTGGCTGCGGACGAGGAAGTAGGGCAATATATACATGTGCACATACACGTATATGAGAATGCATATCTATTCAGACCTGTAATTCATGTCTTAGACTTTTTCACACAGCTATAGATCATTATTTGTTTTTCAATTCTCTATTTATGGTTTCATAATGACTGAGTCACCGTTAAAACAAATGAGTTTCAGCTCTAATGCTGCTACTGTCTGTAATATGTTTCTATTTAGATTATTTGTCAGGATATTTTGTTATTATTGTCCGAGTCTGGTTTTAACTAATGCTGGGCTTACACCAAACGATTTTCACAGTCACAGACTAAAAACTGAAAGGGTAGCATGAGGGTTCTTCCCGTTAGTCTCGTCCCACCCCTAGTCATGACATAACTTCTGTTGTGATTTGACACTATAATGAATAAAGACTGACTGATTGATTGCTATAGCTGTCAATTTTAGTCCTTGAGTTCATAGTTACGTGCTTTATTTGTTAACTGCTATCAAGGAATATGACTCTCCTTTGTAGTATGCATGAGAGGAGATGCTGCGAGATTTGTGGACTTCTATGTAGTGTCTGCTGATAATGTAGTGGGCTGGTCTGGACACAAAATGCCAGGGCTGAATTTTTGTCCCAGTCCACCCCTGGTAGCAACACCTCTGTTCAGGAGAAGACTGCAGCTAGTGTCGCGACCACTTTTTTTTTTTCCCATGTCCCTTTTAGGGCTCCGTAGATGAACTATTACACAAACACACTGAAGAAGGACAAACTGTGAATATTGACTTCATTCAGACTTTTTCTTTTTTTGGACTCTTTTAAATTTTCTTTCTTGTTGTTTATTATTTTGGGCCCATATTTCATAACTCATACTGTGAAGAGTTTTGTTTTCTACTGAGCGTTATTCAGTGTAATTTTCTGAGTTGTTGATAACTTCTGATACAATAAAGGAATTTCAGTCATATCTGAAATATATTATGTTTTGCACTGTTGCCAATAAAGCTATTTGTTACAACTTTTTTCAAACTGTTGTCCTGTTCCATCAATCCTCCTTGAGCGTATCTCTGCTGATCTTTATTTAATGAGATGGTCAGTTAGCACCATCTAGTGGACAGATAGTAGAACTACATCATTTGATGTGTGATTTCTCTGACACTGACTGGGTTTCTGCCACAGGTTAAACTGGTTCTGACGTCACACGGATGGATTTTGAGACTTGAAGTCACTGTAGAAGAATATTCATAAATAAGAATATTTTGTCATTTGTGAAGATCCACTGTGTAACACTGTGAATGATTTATTGTCAGAAATGGAATATAGTATTCCTACGTATGTTTTTATTAGTGTATGAATACCTGAACATTGTGTTTTTGGTTCCTTAGAATTAGCAGTTCTTATCTACAGAGGGAGCGGGACTCCTTCCATGTTTCTACGGTAGCCCAGAAAGGACAAATCTTGATTCCAATGGTCGGCATTTTGCAGCCACTGTTCTTTCTCCCTCGTGTTTGGAATTAGAGAGGGAAGCTAGTGAGGTGCAATCTGCAACAACACTGTTAGATACCACTAAATTCTACACACTGAACCTTTCATAAATACGTAATAATGTAAAACGTGATACAAATGTATGCTCCGCATCACATAGTTCTGAACTGAGCTGATCTTTAGCTCACTGTATGATTAATTAGCACCATCTAATGGACAGATAATGGAACTACATATCTGATCAGTGATTTCTCTGACACTGACTGTAGATAGAGGAAAGGTGCGACTCTATTTCAATGCCAACAGTGTATTCAGAGGTTTAAAGCACTTTTGTTCTTGCAGCCTTCATCAACTATAATGACAAATGGATCTGAAACAATACAAACACATCCCCAACAATCAGACGGTTCAGGGAGAGAAAGAAGGCAATAAAAATGCTTTTGATAGGGTGCAGTCTGATTCTTGTTTAACTGGTTCTGACGTCACTCTGGTGTTTGTTAGACTTGGACCGTGAAGTTTTGAGGGTGTGACAGCGTCCTCAGATCAAATGCACACAGACACCAGGACTGACGAGGAAGAAAGGAGCAGCTTCTTCTCTCCCAGTGTTTCCTCCACACGTGAAGGTGGAAAGTGTCTGTAAGTCGACCTGAAGTGAGTTCAGCAGGTGAGAATCCTACCAGAGAAATGTGTAAATGTTTGATCATCAGGATGACTTTGATCACATTGTGCTGTATCTCTGTTTATCTGGACAGTAGAAATGTTTCCATATGCTGATGAGCTGTTTCAGAATATATCTTTGAAACTTGCTTTCTGTACTTGAATTTCTCTCCGAGTTAAAGGACGATGCTTTTAGAAAGATTTACATGTAATGTTGTTAGTGTTTGTCAAGTAGAATCAGACGCAGTTTAATTGTAACCTGAGTTCACGTCATCAGTGAACAATGTGTCTGAACTGGTCTGACAGCTCGAAGCACCTTGGCTGAGGTTGATTTTTAACTTTTAATACTCTGAAGGGAAGAGCATGGATGAAGAGTTGAGAGCTCACATACAGAAAACTTCCAACACTGACACTGAGCTGGTTTCACTGAAGACCCTTTAGCACAGTCCAGGTCTCAACTGTCCCAGCGTCCTTTCTAGATGGACCAGAGCCAGCCCAGGGTCTAAGGGGACTAAGAGGTTGCTTAGGACCCCTCAGCTATCAGGGCCCTCCAAAGAATATAAAATGTGAACTGTTCTGTCTTGGTGTATATATATATATATACACGTACACGCGTGCATTAACTATACTCGTTCCGTGACTAATAAGCATATAAAGTATTCAACACAATGGCTATAGATACAACATACATAAGCCTGCCAATGTAAACCTCTGAAAATAATATTTCACACAATTCAGTCACAGTCGAGCCCTGAATACAACGGAGCAGCAAACAGCAGCAACAGAAGGCAACAGACACTGTGCACGCTTCGGCCTGCTCAGATCACAAAATCACACAGCCAGTTACCAACACTGGTATAATGATGAATCAGCAGTGTTCCTATTGTTGGAGCATCATAGATGTAACTATGAAGAGCCCAGATTTGTGCTTCAACCACCAAATTAATTAAATTTGTAAAAGCCAACAGAGGGGAAAATCATGCACTTACCATAGAACTTCACAGTCTCGTTTCCCTTGAGGTTGTGACTCAGAACGTGAATGTTTATGCAGCAAAAAATGATCCATTTTGGTGTATTTTACTCTGCTAAATTTCCAAACTCGCTATCAATAACAAGCTGCCATACGTTAAGGACAAAGGTTCACCGGGCGCTGCGCCCATTGGCTAATTAAGATCACATGTTTGCACCTCATGTTTTTTTAGACTAAAATATATATTTTTAATTATTATTTTAATTCACATTTTTAAACAACACGAAAAAGACTATTCAAACATGACATTAAGTTATAAATATAAAAAATCAGAGACATTTCTTGGGGGTACTGGGCGGGTGCTATGGCTATTATAGGGGGAGCTACAGCACCACCTAGCTCCTCCCTGGCGCCGCCACTGAAAGACACAGACCTTGATTTTCTCTTGTGACCCATAAATGTGTAAAGTATATTTTGTGGTCAACATACTTTATGTGTGAATCTGGGGGCTGTGTAAGAGGTTTTGGGGTTATCAGAGCTCCAACAAGATTTCTGTCAGCTCTGAATATTTGTGTCATGTTACTGAGAGCAATGAGAACTAATGTGTCTCTGTGATGTAAAGCTTGCTGTAATGAATGAGCATGTTGCTGTGTCTGTGTGAAGGTGTGGGCTCTGCTATGGATCAGTGTGAGGACAGAGAGGAGGGAGTCCCTCCCTCTAAAAGCACTCTGTGTGGGGAACATGACACAAGGACCAAAGCTCAGAGGTGAGATGAGGATCTCTAACTGTCCATGACTCTTCTCCATGTCACAAAGGCTTTGATTCTCCATTTGAAACAAAGACATTTATCTGAGCTAAAGTACGTAGTTGTCAGTATTCAAACAGGGCTGGACAATCTGATCTCAAATCAGTATCAGGAGAAACATTCAGCTTCATAATGAGAAATGGGTCCGTGTATGTTTTGGTCATTGGATTTTCCTTTCAGAAACGGGTATTAAAAAACAGAAAACAAGTGGTTATTTGATTTTCGTTTTAAAATACAAAAATTAAAATTGAGATACAAGGCGTTTTTTTCTTTTTCATGGTCAAAAAGGGATGAGCGAAATTTTAGAAAATATTCAATTTTCATTTTCTATTTCATATAACAAAAATTAAAATCACTAGAAAACAGAAACGTAAAAAAGGCCTGTTGTTTCATATTGTGAGATCGGATGTTGTCATTTACAGGACGGTGCTGTGTAGAAGAAACAGTAGGCTAGTGGACTGCGGTCAATCCAGCCATGAGTCCGATCTCCGTGGTCAAATCAGCCGCACTTAAATTTAGAGTGTACAAGTATTCTCAGCATTATGGTAAATGCGGAGAAACAGCGTATTTACTTCCGGTTTTCAAAATAAAGATGGTCCCGGAAACAAGGCCACATTTGCATCGTTAGTCAAGTACAGACTATGAGTTGAGACCTGTCAAGAAAGTGTTCACTTAAAGTTACAAACCTTTCTCAATTAATATTCTTCAGTGAATACTGAGAGAGAAAATTCTCCAAATGCTAAATGTCTAAATGGCGTTAGTTACATATATACAGTATTTAAGTGATAATCGCCCACGACGAGGCGGACTTCTATTAGGGTGGCCATTTCCTTCACATCAAAAAGGAGCACACTTTGCATACACGGGGTCAAGCATGGTATGATCCGGTTTTAAATGTCTTTCCACCAGATTACATAAAGGTGCATACACATACCACAAAGCTAATAATAAATATACAAGATACAGCTCATGACAACGTGCCCTTCCAATTCAGATTACATAGGTCTAATAAACATCATACAGAAACTGTTCTTAATGTTTTTATCTGAAATGATAAAGGGTAAAAAAATGCAGCACCTTCTGTTTCAGAGTATGAGTATTTTCAGAATTTCAGTCCAACAACCGACATTCTCTGTCGCTAAGAGTTTGATTGACAGCCTGGTGGTAGCAACTGCTGTGATCGTGTGTTGTGGCGAATCAACACATGGCTCATTTGAATATTAAAATTAGTCATGTGTTGATAGGTCATGACACGAAAATGTAACCAAAGAAATTACTTATTTTGACACACATTTTTAGCCAATAAGTATTAAACTAACGAGGTAATGTGTCAAACTGCGGACCTCAAAAGGAGGAAAACGAGTGTCAGGCTTAAAAGCGGGACGAATGGCCACCCTAAGTTCTATCGAAACAGCTCCGCTAAAGGGTTAACGTTAGGCTAACAGGCTAACAGGTGAACATCACCGACTGACGTCCTGGAGCAGAGCTTTTTTAAATTTTTTTACCTGAAATATGCGACTAAGTTTTTCTGCAGTCATGTCTTTTTCCATGAGACACACTCTTTTATTGTTTCGGAAAACAACGTACTGCTCCATGTCCATGTGTCACGGTTGATTACCCCGCCGCAGTCTAGTAGCCTACTGTTTCTTCTGCACAGCACCGTCCTGTAAATGACAACATCCGGTCTCAGAATATGAAAGGTCCGTGTATGTTTTGGTCATTGGATTTTCCTTTCAGAAACGGGTATTAAAAAACAGAAAACGAGTGGTTATTTGATTTTCGTTTTAAAATACAAAAATTAAAATTGAAATACAAGGCGTTTTTCTTTTTCATGGTCAGAAAGGGATGAGCGAAATTAAAAAAATATTCGATTTTCATTTTCTATTTCATATAACAAAAAATAAAATCACTAGAAAACAGAAACGGAAAAAAGGCCTGTTGTTTCATATTCTGAGACCGGATGTTGTCATTAACAGGACGGTGCTGTGGAGAAGAAACAGTAGACTAGTAGACTGCGGTCAATCCAGCCGTGAGTCCGATCTCCGTGGTCAAATCAGCCGCACTTAAATTTCGAGTGTACAAGTATTCTCAGCATTATGGTAAATGCGGAGAAACAGCGTATTTACTTCCGGTTTTCAAAATAAAGGTATTTAGAACAGTAAGCTATAATTAAAATATGTTACATTAAAGTGTTTCATGCGCCCCTGATGAATAAAAAAACACTTTATATCAAGTATCTTTACTGCACCAGTGTGGAGAAATGCCAAAATAAAAGTCTCATATTTATGCCTCCAGAGATTGCATATTTGACCCTATTTGAGGTACTGTAAAAACATATTGCTCAGTGTTTCCTGGCTACTGATGGTATATTTGACTTTTACACATATGAGACTACAAACATACTTAATATCAAGCATTTGTATTGTACCAATTTGGAGAAATTCAACAATAAAAGTCCATATTTGTACCTCCAAGTGGTATTTTCATATATTTGAGCTACTGTAAAAACACTTTGCTCAATAATTCCTGGCTATGGATGGTATATTTGACTTCTACACATCTAAGACTACAAGTATACTTAATATCAAGCATTTTTACTGTACCAATTTGGAGAAATTGAAGAATAAAAGTCCCATATTTATACTTCCAGATTCCATATTTTCTTATATTTTTGAGCTACTGTAAAAACATATTGCTCAATATTTCCTGGCTATGGGTGAAGCATTTTCATTATACTTCAATAATGCTGCAGTAATCATGACAAAATTTCACACAAATGTTTAATAACATCTTGATAATATAAACACTAAACACAAAATCCTACACTATTCTAATTTGTTTACTTTTCACACAAAATGCAATGCCAGTCCACATTCTTCTTATTTTGCAGCTCTGCTGTGTCCATTTGTAGGTAAAAGGGAAAAATAATTACTTTTAACTTCAAAACACCATTGTACCTACTGTCTCTTCCTCACATATTATTTTTTATATTATTCAGTGTGACAGCTGTTGCAGGTGGTTCCACATACAGTTTACATTTTTATAGTAGCTCAAATATAAGAAAATATGGAATCTGGAAGTATAAATATGGGACTTTTATTCTTCAATTTCTCCACATTGGTACAGTAAAAATGCTTGATATTAAGTATACTTGTAGTCTTAGATGTGTAGAAGTCAAATATATCATCCATAGCCAGGAATTATTGAGCAAAGTGTTTTTACAGTAGCTCAAATATATGAAAATACCACTTGGAGGTACAAATATGGACTTTTATTGTTGAATTTCTCCAAATTGGTACAGTAAAAATGCTTGATATTAAGTATGTTTGTAGTCTCATATGTGTAAAAGTCAAATATACCATCAGTAGCCAGGAAACACTGAGCAATATGTTTTTACAGTACCTCAAATAAATGAAAATATGCAATCTCTGGAGGCATAAATATGAGGCTTTTATTTTGGCATTTCTCCACACTGGTGCAGTAAAGATACTTGATATAAAGTGTTTTTTTTTATTCATCAGGGGCGCATGAAACACTTTAATGTAACATATTTTAATTATAGCTTACGGTTCTAAATACCTTTATTTTGAAAACCGGAAGTAAATACGCTGTTTCTCCGCATTTACCATAATGCTGAGAATACTTGTACACTCTAAATTTAAGTGCGGCTGATTTGACCACGGAGATCGAACTCACGGCTGGATTGACCGCAGTCTACTAGTCTACTGTTTCTTCTCCACAGCACCGTCCTGTTAATGACAACATCCGGTCTCAGAATATGAAACAACAGGCCTTTTTTCCGTTTCTGTTTTCTAGTGATTTTATTTTTTTGTTATATGAAATAGAAAATGAAAATCGAATAATTTTTTTAATTTCGCTCATCCCTTTCTGACCATGAAAAAGAAAAACGCTTTGTATTTCAATTTTAATTTTTGTATTTTAAAACGAAAATCAAATAACCACTCGTTTTCTGTTTTTTAATACCCGTTTCTGAAAGGAAAATCCAATGACCAAAAGATACACGGACCATGAAACAACAGGCCTTTTTTCTGTTTCTGTTTTCTAGTGATTTTATTTTTTTGTTATATGAAATAGAAAATGAAAATCGAATATTTTTTTAAATTTCGCTCATCCCTTTCTGACCATGAAAAAGAAAAACGCCTTGTATTTCAATTTTAATTTTTGTATTTTAAAACGAAAATCAAATAACCACTCATTTTCTGTTTTCTAATACCCATTACTGAAAGGAAAATCCAATGACCAAAACATACACGGACCCTGGGGTCAATCCAGCCGTGAGTCCGATCTCCGTGGTCAAATCAGCCGCACTTAAATTTCGAGTGTACAAGGGTCCGTGTATGTTTTGGTCATTGGATTTTCCCTTCAGAAACGGGTATTAGAAAACAGAAAATGAGTGGTTATTTGATTTTCGTTTTAAAATACAAAAATTAAAATTGAAATATAAGGCTTTTTTTTTTTCATGGTCAGAAAGGGATGAGCGAAATTTAAAAAAATATTCGATTTTCATTTTCTATTTCATATAACAAAAATTAAAATCACTAGAAAACAGAAACAGAAAAAAGGCCTGTTTTTTCATATTCTGAGACCGGATGTTGTCATTAACAGGACGGTGCTGTGGAGAAGAAACAGTTGGCTAGTAGACTGCGGTCAATCCAGCCGTGAGTCCGATCTCCGCAGTCAAATCAGCCGCACTTAAATTTCGAGTGTACAAGTATTCTCAGCATTATGGTAAATGCGGAGAAACGCCGTATGTACTTCCGGTTTTCAAAATAAAGGTATTTAGAGCCGTAAGCTATAATTAAAATATGTTACATTAAAGTGTTTCATGCGCCCCTGATGAATAAAAAACACTTTATACCAAGTATCTTTACTACACCAGTGTGGAGAAATGCCAAAATAAAAGTCTCATATTTATGCCTCCAGAGATTGCATATTTGACCATATTTGAGGTACTGTAAAAACATATTGCTCAGTGTTTCCTGGCTACTGATGGTATATTTGACTTTTATGAGACTACAAGCATACTTAATATCAAGCATTTTTACTGTACCAATTTGGAGAAATTCAACAATAAAAGTCCATATTTGTACCTCCATGTGGTATTTTCATATATTTGAGCTACTGTAAAAACACTTTGCTCAATAATTCCTGGCTATGGATGGTATATATGACTTCTATACATCTAAGACTGCAAGTATACTTAATATCAAGCATTTTTACTGTACCAATATTGAAGAATAAAAGTCCCATATTTATACTTCCAGATTCCATATTTTCTTATATTTAAGCTATTGTAAAAATGTAAACTGTATGTGGAACCACCTGCAACAGCTGTCACACTGAATAATATAAAAAATAATATGTGAGGAAGAGACAGTAGGTACAATGGTGTTTTGAAGTTAAAACTAATTATTTTTCCCTTTTACCTACAAATGGACACAGCAGAGCTGCAAAATAAGAAGAATGTGGACTGGCATTGCATTTTGTGTGAAAAGTAAACAAATTAGAATTGTGTAGGATTTTGTGTTTAGTGTTTATATTATCAAGATGTTATTAAACAGTTGTGTGAAATTTTGTCATGATTACTGCAGCATTATTGAAGTATAATGAAAATGCTTCACCCATAGCCTGGAAATATTGAGCAATATGTTTTTACAGTAGCTCAAAAATATAAGAAAATATGGAATCTGTATAAATATGGGACTTTCATTCTTCAATTTCTCCAAATTGGTACAGTAAAAATGCTTGATATTAAGTATACTTGTAGTCTTAGATGTGTAGAAGTCACATATACCATCCATAGCCAGGAATTATTGAGCAAAGTGTTTTTACAGTAGCTCAAATATATGAAAATATGCCACATGGAGGTACAAATATGGACTTTTATTGTTGAATTTCTCCAAATTGGTGCAGTAAAAATGCTTGATATTAAGTATGTTTGTACTCTCATATGTGTAAAAGTCAAATATACCATCAGTAGCCAGGAAACACTGAGCAATATGTTTTTACAGTACCTCAAATATGGTCAAATATGCAATCTCTGGAGGCATAAATATGAGGCTTTTATTTTGGCATTTCTCCACACTGGTGCAGTATACTTGATATAAAGTGTTTTTTATTCATCAGGGGCGCATGAAACACTTTAATGTAACATATTTATTTTAAATGTAGGTTCGAATTATAGCTTACTGTTCTAAATACCTTTATTTTGAAAACCGGAAGTGAATACGCTGTTTCTCCGCATTTACCATAATGATAAGAATACTTGTACACTCGAAATTTAAGTGCGGCTGATTTGACCACGGAGATCGGACTCACGGCTGGTTTGACCACAGTCTACTAGCCTACTGTTTCTTCTCCACATCACCGTCCTGTAAATGACAACATCCGGTCTCAGAATATGAAAAAAACAGGCCTTTTTTCCGTTTCTGTTTTCTAGTGATTTTATTTTTTGTTATATGAAATAGAAAATGAAAATCGAATATTTTTTTTAATTTCGCTCATCCCTTTTTGAACATGAAAAAGAAAAATGCCTTGTATTTCAATTTTAATTTTTGTATTTTAAAACGAAAATCAAATAACCACTCGTTTTCTGTTTTTAATACCTGTTTCTGAAAGGAAAATCCAATGACCAAAACATACACGGACCGTACAAGTATTCTCAGCATTGAATTTTTAAAATTTCGCTCATCCCTTTTTGACCATGAAAAAGAAAAACGCCTTGTATTTCAATTTTAATTTTTGTATTTTAAAACGAAAATCAAATAACCACTCGTTTTCTGTGTTTTAATACCCGTTTCTGAAAGGACAATCCAATGACCAAAAGATACACGGACCCTTAAATTATATTGAATTCAGACAGTGTGTTGAAGTGTGTGACATCAGTAAATTGTGTTCAGTAACACGTCCATAATGTCAGTAATTGAAGACATTGTTCTTATTGTCCAGCCCTGTATTCAAACATTTCAAATTATACATCATTTCACAAAGTCTTTGATTCAGTGAGAATGTTTCTGAATATGTGAGCTTTAATGAATTTCTTTCTATCAGGATCCATCAGAGACCAGACTGTCCTGAACCTGAACCCAGCTGTGTGTCCATGAAGAGTGATCGCTCTATGGATCTTCCTATATTGTTCAAAGATGGCCGCTACTCTGTTGATCAAAGGTGAGGATTTCAAACTGATGAAAATAAAATTTGTCAGACTCAGTTGTGAAATCTCTGTTTTTAAATGTTTTAAAATGTCTTTTAATGGACGGTGATGGTTTGTGTCTGATCAGCTCAATTTACAACAACCTCAGTTTCACAGTGAACAAATAGTTGCAGCAGTTTATAGAAACTCACTGCTTTGACACCACGTCTGTTCCTCTTTTTATCCTAATTGGACCGATATGGTCACTCCACTCCATCATTTCCCCGCCTATACTGCACACTGCACTGAATACAGCTTTAAAATACACAGTGAAACATGTCTAAATCAAACACTGACTTTATAGGAATCCCAACCAAGAACTCCCTGGGTACAAATACACTGTGTACAGTCGGTGTATTCAGTCACTGGCAGGTTCTGTCTCAGTGTGTTGTGGGTGCAGTGCAGAACTGATCCTGTTTTTCTTTTAGGAGGAAAAAACCTGAACCCAGCTGTGTGTCCATGAAGAGTGACCTATCTATGGATCGTCTTATATACTTCAAAGATGGCCACCACTCTGTTGATCAAAGGTGAGGATTTCAAACTGATGGTAAAATAAAATGATGTGTTTTTATCAGACTCTCAGTTGTGAAATCTCCAGTTTTTAAACCTTTACTGACTCAGATGAAGTTCTCTGAGCACCAACACTCTTTCAGCAGCAGCTGCCTCACACTCACACAGTCAAACACATTCACACTAGGAGCTGCCCAGTACAACCAGTCTGATACAAGCAGACACTGAGCAGCTCCACTGGAGCAGCTGGAGGCTCTAGGTGCCTTGCTCCAGGGAACTTCAGCAGTGTACAGTGAGGGAGGGAAAGCTATATGGAGGGGTTGGTGAGAGCTGTTGGGACTGAACCAAACTGAGCTGTTGATTCTCAGTGGGATCAGCAGGACTAGTAAACCTTTACCGCTACAGGGAGTCATCAGGTTCACTGTTCACATCCAAATATCACTTCATGGACCTTTACCTTGTGTTTGTCTCTGTGTGGACAGACATAATGTGAGCTCATTCTTCATGATTCCTCCACAGAGTGGACCAGGAGAGCTCAGAGGTTCCCAGTGGTCAGTCGGCCCAGCAGCATCAAACACACCTGGACTCCATATTTATGGTCTGTGCATGGACAACAACTAATTTTACATCTACTGTGTTCACAATAATCTTCATGCTGCACTTTTTAGACCAGTGGATTGTCAGTCTGTCCAACATGGATCTGATGTTTGCTTCCATGATTTGACTTTGATTGAGTCATTCATATAATATTCTGTTCCAGCTGCTGGAGGAAAACATTGTCACTTTTGTGAAAAACGAGCTGAAGAAGATCCAGAAGGTTCTGCGTCCAGATTACCCAGAATGCTCAGAGAGTCAGAGGGAGGATGAGGAGGTGTTGGATGGTGAGGATGAAGAGCAGAGGAGGAGCAGCAGAGAGGCATTTCTGAAGATCACAGTGCACTTCCTGAGGAGAATGAAGCAGGAGGAGCTGGCTGACTGTCTACAGAGCAGTAAGAGGATTTTGATAGATTGAACATGATGGAAAAAGGAAATGGAGGCAACATGGGAGAAGTTTACTTTTAAAACTCTGCTGATAATATGATGCACACATTGTATCAGATCTATGAATTCTTCTGGACTGAAAACAGAAACTGTTCACAACTGATGAGCTGAAGAGATTTAACGGGGGAGGAAAATAAATACCATCTTGATGTCTTAAAGTTTACATCCATCAGATTTATTGGAGCTTTTACTTATTAACTACATTTCTTCTTTCTTCATCCAGGAACTGTTGCTGCAGCGTGCCGATGTGAACTTAAATCTAACCTAAAGAGGAAGTTCCAGTGTGTGTTTGAGGGGATTGCTAAAGCAGGAAACCCAACCCTTCTGAACCAGATCTACACAGAGCTCTACATCACAGAGGGAGGGACTGCAGAGGTCAATGAAGAACATGAGGTCAGACAGATTGAAACAGCATCCAGGAAACCAGACAGACCAGAAACAACAATCAGACAAGAAGACTTCTTTAAACCCTCACCTGGAAGAGATGAACCAATCAGAACAGTGATGACAAAGGGAGTGGCTGGCATTGGGAAAACAGTCTTAACACAGAAGTTCACTCTGGACTGGGCTGAAGACAAAGCCAACCAGGACATACAGTTCACATTTCCATTCACTTTCAGAGAGCTGAATGTGCTGAAAGAGAAAAAGTACAGCTTGGTGGAACTTGTTCATCACTTCTTCACTGAAACCAAAGAAGCAGGAATCTGCAGGTTTGAAGAGTTCCAGGTTGTGTTCATCTTTGACGGTCTGGATGAGTGTCGACTTCCTCTGGACTTCCACAACACTGAGATCCTGACTGATGTTACAGAGTCCACCTCAGTGGGTGTGCTGCTGACAAACCTCATCAGGGGGAAACTGCTTCCTTCTGCTCGACTCTGGATAACCTCACGACCTGCAGCAGCCAATCAGATCCCTCCTCAGTGTGTTGACATTGTGACAGAGGTCAGAGGGTTCACTGACCCACAGAAGGAGGACTACTTCAGGAAGAGGTTCAGAGATGAGGAGCAGGCCAGCAGAATCATCTCCCACATCAAAACATCACGAAGCGTCCACATCATGTGCCACATCCCAGTCTTCTGCTGGATCACTGCTACAGTTCTGGAGGATGTGTTGAAGACCAGAGAGGGAGGAGAGCTGCCCAAGACCCTGACTGAGATGTACATCCACTTCTTGGTGGTTCAGTCCAAAGTGAAGACCATCAAGTATGATGGAGGAGCTGAGACAGATCTACACTGGAGTCCAGAGAGCAGGAAGATGATTGAGTCTCTGGGAAAACTGGCTTTTGAGCAGCTGCAGAAAGGCAACCTGATCTTCTATGAATCAGACCTGACAGAGTGTGGCATCGATATCAGAGCAGCCTCAGTGTACTCAGGAGTGTTCACACAGATCTTTAAAGAGGAGAGAGGACTCTACCAGGATAAGGTCTTCTGCTTCGTCCATCTGAGTGTTCAGGAGTTTCTGGCCGCTCTTCATGTCCATCTGACATTCATCAGCTGTGGAGTCAATCTGCTGGCAGAACAACAAACAACATCTCTGTTGTCTAAAGTCTTCAAAGACAAACCTAAACTAAAATATCTCCACCAGAGTGCTGTGAACAAGGCCTTAGAGAGTCAACAAGGACACCTGGACTTGTTTCTCCGCTTCCTCCTGGGTCTTTCACTGCCGACCAATCAGAATCTCCTACGAGGTCTGCTGACACAGACAGGAAGTAGCTCACAGACCAATCAGCAAACAGTCCAGTACCTCAAGAAGAAGATCAGTAAGAATCTCTCTGCAGAGAGAAGCATCAATCTGTTCCACTGTCTGAATGAACTGAATGATCGTTCTCTAGTGGAGGAGATCCAACAGTCCCTGAGTTCAGGAAGTCTCTCCACAGATAAACTGTCTCCTGCTCAGTGGTCAGCTCTGGTCTTCATCTTACTGTCATCAGAAAAAGATCTGGACGTGTTTGACCTGAAGAAATACTCTGCTTCAGAGGAGGCTCTTCTGAGGCTGCTGCCGGTGGTCAAAGCCTCCAACAAAGCTCTGTAAGTACAGAAATAGTTGGATTTCTGTATTATCACTTAAATACTCTGCTATCTTTTCGACTTAGAGAGATTATAAAAACATTATATATCACCAACATTGGGAACTCCTCACTAGCTGGTATCATTTTTACAGAACTAATTTAAAGTGTTTTTGGTTTTGGCTGAGTGATAAAGTGCTGGTCACAAATGTTATTTTTCTTATTGTTGATCATTGTCTCTACAGACTGAGTGACTGTAACCTCTCAGAGAGAAGCTGTGAAGCTCTGTCCTCAGTTCTCAGCTCCCAGTCCTCTAGTCTGCGAGAGCTGGACCTGAGTAACAACAACCTGCAGGATTCAGGACTGAAGCTGCTTTCTGTTGGACTGAAGAGTCCACACTGTAAACTGGAAACTCTCAGGTCAGAATTCGTCAGCCTGTTCAACTGATAACTAGGGATGGAATCGAGAACCGGTTCTTCTTCAGAACCAGAGCCCAGTAAATCGATTCCTTGGAACCGTTAGCGTGCCTGCTTAGCGATTCCGCTTATCAGTTCCGCTCGTTGCAAATGCGTCATGACGTCACACACACGCTGCGTTGTTTTGGTTCAGAACACAGCAAACATGGCGTCGAGGCAGAACCGCTCTAAAGTTTGGTTATTTTTCACGCGAAAAGACGACAATACGGTCACTTGCAACACTTGTAAAGTTTCCATTTCGTCAAAGGGGGAACTACCTCCAATATGCAGAAACATTTGGCCACACAGCATCAATTCATTTGCAGGACTGTCACGTGTTTGATACCCTACTACCTAGCGACACAAGTGTGTTAAGCCGCAGCGGAGCTAACGGGATGCCATCTGTTATCAATGCCGAAGGTAACTTTAAATGACATGATAATTTTTCTGCACAAAAATTATTATACTTATTGGCTAAAAATGTGTGTCAAAATAAGTAATTTCAATGGTTACATTTTCATGTCCTATCAACACATGGCTAGTTTTAATATTCAAATGAGCCATGTGTTGATTCGCCACAGTTGCTACCACCAGGCTGTCAATCAAGCTCTCAGCGACAGAGAACTAACGTTAGCCTTTATCTATCCAGATAAAAACATTAAGAACAGTTTCTGTATGATGTTAATTAAACCAGGGGCGTAGGAATGAGTTTAACATTGGGGGGGACACATATCGGAAACCTGACAGATCTGTTAATGGTTTGAACAGAAGTATGTCATAAATTTACTACACTGCAAAATATTCACAAATATATATTTATTCTACTAAAAAGATAAATTTGTTAAAGTAAAGAAAAACACATTTTGAATGGCAGTAAGGAACTGATAAATATCAAATCAATTCTTTAATTGCAGGCCTAATCATCCAGTTTTGTAGATTAATAAATAACATGGGAAGAATATTGATCAAAATTTGAATTCAAATTTTCTCTTCTTAGGTGTATCTTATGCCTCAACTCTTCCTCTCATGATCAACAAACTAAAATCACCTCACGCTTCATATAGCACCTACCTGCAACTCTGCAGTGCTGGCTCTCCCTGCATCACCCTCACCACTGTTAGTGTCCAGCTGAACTTCATCTGATCTCTAATATGAAAGCAGTGGAGATGAATAAGGTATAGAAAAATACTGATGGGAATGTTAAGAAAAAACGAAACACACCCCACTTTACTCCTTTTTTAGATGGGGGGGATGTATAATTTTTTTTTTTTTTTTTTAACAAGGTTGGTTTGTTGAAAAATTAATTTTTTTTTTTAATTTTTTTAAAAAAACAAAAAAAAGAACCGGGGAGGGTAAAAAAAGTAAGAAAGATTTTAGCCCTTTAGGGGGGCCGGGGTCGTCTCCCCCAAAAAAAAAATTTTTATTTTTTTTATTTTTAAAAATATATATTTTAATTTTTTATTTATTTTTTTTACCAACAAAAAGAAAAAAAAAAAATTTACTTTCCACAAAAAAAAAAAAAAATTATGGCCTCTTTTCTTCGGGATAAGGATTGGCTCTAAGGGCTGGGTCGGTCGGGCTGGGGTGCGAAGCGGGGCTGGGCTCGAGCCGCGGCTGGGGGAGCAGTCGCCCCGTCGCCCTCCTCTCTCCGCCGCTGGAAGTGCGGTGCGCGGCCCATCTCGCGGGGCCCTCGTCCGCGGCGCCTCGTGTGTCGTTGGGCGGGGGTTTTCGCGGGGTGGTGTCCGACGCCGTGTGGAAGGCGGGCCGGTGGAGGGGATCGGGTACGGCGGTCGGCGGCGGCGACTCTGGACGCGCGCCGGGCCCTTCTCGCGGATCTCCCCAGCTACGGCGCCTGTTGGGCCCCGTTCGCGCGGGGTCCTGGCAGGTCGCCTCGGCTGGCGCCTAGCAGCTGACTTAGAACTGGTGCGGACCAGGGGAATCCGGGAATCCGACTGTCTTCTCATCTTAACCGCTGACCTGTCGCCCCCCGGCCGGGCCCCAAAAAAAAAAAATGGGGGAAAAAAAAAAAAAAAAAAAATAAATAAAAAAAATAAAAAAAAATTTTTTTTTTATTAAAAGTAAAATTTTAATATGGGGGAAAAAAACCACCCTCCAAAAAAAAAGAAAAGGCCCCCCCCCCCCCCCTCCCCCCCCCACTAAAAAAAAAAAAAAAAAAAAAAAAAAAAAAAAAAAAAGTAAAAATAAATATAAATTAAAAAAATAATAATAAAAATGTATGCACATTTATGTAATCTGGTGGAAAAACATTAAAATTTAAAACCGGATCATACCAAACAAATATCTGCTTGCGTGTCTCCGTGTATGCAAAGTGTCCTCCTTTTTGATGTGAAAGAAATGGCCACCCTGTTTCAGTCTGTGTTTTTAGTTTTTATGGCACATAATGGCAGTTGGGCTTAAAAAGCCAAACATTAATTTTTTTGTCTGGACCAATTAATGTGAAAATGAACAATTTCCTAATCCTAAAGCACTCTTGATAATCTTTCAAGGCACACACTAGCGTGCCATGGCCTACTGGTTGAGAAACACTGGACTTTACTTTGAGAAGTAGCTCACATACTTTTAGGTTTGTTCTGAGGTTGCTACACATAGTTTGTGTATACTCTGTGCTGTGTCTTCTGATCAGATATTAAAGCGAGTTAATACAAACAAACAAATTTGTACTTATTCCCTCACCCAATGAGAATCGATAATGGAATCGGAATCGTTAAATTCTTATCAATTCCCATCCCTACTGATAACCCCTTTAAACCTGAATTATTATAAAATATGGGTTTTGGCTGAGTGATAAAGTGCTGGTCACAAATGTTATTTTTCTTATTGTTGATCATTGTCTCTACAGACTGAGTGGCTGTAACCTCTCAGAGAGAAGCTGTGAAGCTCTGTCCTCAGTTCTCAGCTCCCAGTCCTCTAGTCTGAGAGAGCTGGACCTGAGTAACAACAACCTGCAGGATTCAGGACTGAAGCTGCTTTCTGTTGGACTGAAGAGTCCACACTGTAAACTGGAAACTCTCAGGTCAGGATTCGTCAACCTGTTTAACTGATAACCAGTTTAAACCTGAATTATGTTGATGGATAGAATTGTAATCTTTCTAATTCATTGTTTTGTTTATTTAGTTTGAGTCTCTTTCCTTGAACATGTTTATTATGTAATGTGTTTTTTTGTTTCAGGCTGTCAGGCTTCCCAACACTCAGTAAGGTTATGCTTTCAAGTTAAAGCTCCAACCCTCACCTTGGACTTAAATGATGGGGTGTTTGGGTTCGATTTATTAAGGTAGGTACCACGAAGGTTTACCTGTTTTGTGTGAAACTTTTTATGGCCTAATAGTTTTGTTCAGTCTTCAAATAGAGCAGGTCTAGACCGAACTCCTTATAACATTATTTACAGAGACCCAACAGTTCCCACCATGAGCAAGACCTTGGAGACAGTGGCAAGGACAAACTTCCTTTTCCGCCCTGACAAACAGACAGACAGACAGACGAGACAGACAGAGAGAGAGAGAGAGAGAGACTAGAAATGACTGATGATGATGAACATGAAGAAGATGATGACAACGACAACAACGATGGACAATAACAATAGTAACTATAATAATGATTATAATAATAATAATAATATCAGTAATTTTGAGGCTCCACCAGGATCAATGAGAACCTGCGAGATGAGAAAGCACAAGAACTCCGGGGAAGAAGTGAAGTTAGTAAGATGCATTAATGGGACATGAATGAGTGCAGAAAGAGAGAGGAAGAGAGGAGTTCAGTGCATCATGGGAAATCCCCCGATAGTCTGGGCCTATAGCAGCATAACTAAGGGATGGTTCAGGACTCACCTGATCCAGCCCTAACTATAAGCTTTATCAAAGAGGAATGTCTTAAGCCTACTCTTAAATGTGGAGAGGGTGTCTGCCTCCAGAACCACAACTGGAAGCTGGTTCCACAGGAGAGGAGCTTGGTAACTGAAGGCTCTGGCTCCTGTTCTACTTTTAGAGACTATAGGAACCACAAGTAGCCCAGCATTCAGAGAACGTAGTGTTCTAGAGGGGTAATAGGGTACTATGAGCTCTTTAAGATATGAAGGGGCCTGACCATGAAGAGCTTTGTAGGTGAGGAGGAGGATTTTAAATTCTATTCTAAATTACTACTGATGTGAGCTCAGTTGTGTTTAATGCAGGGAAATGTATATTTGCTATGTTTTTTAGAAGATATTGAATTTTCCTGTGTTCTGAGCAGTCCTTGAACACCTCCTGCTGTATGTTTTGTTGTTTATTAGAGTATTCAGGTGTCAACCTGTCATTGTCCAATCAGGGTCTATTAGAGATGAGTATGAGGTAACCTACCGGATTCTGAGAGGATTAAAAAGAGAAACGGAGACGTAAGAGAGAGAGAGAGAGACGCTCATCCGCTACGCCTGGTCCTGCTCCATCATACATTTTATCCCGCTCCACTCACCATTCCGCTCAAAAAAACAAAACGACTTCAACAATGTCGCCTTTTTCTTGTTCCACATTATCCCCATCTGTTACTTTTACAGGAATAGCACACTTGTACGACTTCTCAGTTTCTTTTCTGAAGTACACATTAAACTCCATAGTTTTGAAAGAAAATAGTGTGGGTGTGCGCGTGCAGGTGCAAAGACTGGAGCGACCTTTAAAAAAATTGCCGCTCAACACAAAATCCTTTTGCTCCCCGCTCCGCTCATATGCTCTGACAGGGACTAACGTTAGTTTCACAACTTTGATCATCCGCCACTGGACAGAGGTTGTGAACTAAACAAACAATGTTGCTATCCAGTGTGCGTGTAATCAAAAAGGATGGAGATGGAGAGTGTTATTTTAATCGTGTGTTCTTTGCGTAATGGATGTGGAGAACTGTTCAATAACGTTTAAATAGTCAGAGATTATTTCCTTGTGGTCTGCGTAAAAGGATTTTGGAGCTAATAGAGTCGCTTGTGACATAAACGTAGATGGTGCAGTGACTCAGGTTCATGCCAGCTGAACAAATCTATTGCATTGTTATAGCGTTATTGTGAAGTTTAATTAATAGCGCATATATTCATCTGAGAACTGATGATGTCTGTGTGTTACAGACCCTGGCTGTGTGCACTGAAGTGTATATGACAATAAAGTAGTGAATCTCAATCTATTTATTTATTTATTTTTAAAATGTATTTTAAATAGGCCTATAGGCTCATAGGTTTTTTGTCCAAAAATACCAAACAATTTTTTCACAGCACCCCCTGTTCAAAATGACTTCCAGCGGCCCTGGGGTACAAATTAGAGTTAGATTAGAGTAGCAAAATTCAACTGCTCTTAACTCATCCTATAGAATAACATTTATCAGTCATCAGCTCATCATCTGTGTCACCTGTATTGTTACCTGTGTTTGCTTTACTAATTGAGGCGCCATCTTGTGGTTACATAAAAACACAGCAATCCAGGCAACAGAACAGAAAAACTAAAGGCGTCACCTAAACAACAATTCAGTTCAATGTCACCAATTCATAACAGAAGTAACTACTGCACTCAGGTTCAACTCAAGGAGTGAGTAAATGTAAATAATAATAATGTAAAAAGGTAAACACAATTTCACAATCAACAAAAAGTAGAATCACAGTTCAGATTCATTCCAATATATAAAAGAAATAAAAGAACTGAAAGTAAAAGTGTTTCTTTACAGCTTATTGCTGTCTGATATCAATGTTGGTCAAAGTCCAGTCCAAAAGCTTAGTGTGTATCCATGTCCGTCCAAGTGTATTCAATGTGTATGTGCTACCCGGGTAGAATGTGTGTGTTTGTTTGTACGCTTGCTCAGATCTTATCTTCAGGAAGATGATGAAGATGGAGAATTCCAGATACTCTCTAACCCTGCCTCGCATCCCACAGGAAACCCAGAATGTAGATCCAGCAACTCAAAAAACCAATTATCTCTCATCAATTACTGTACAGTATCATATCTCTCTTTAACTCAAGTGTAACTTATAACAAAAGCAATGATGAACTATATCCTGAGACCTTAAAAGCTTAGACATCATTGTGTTTTGTTTCCTTTTTTACCCGTATTAATAAATCATGTTACACAACTTATCTCTTATCTCTAATCAATCATGTCTCTCATTCATATTCACCCTTATGTATTTTTAATCATCTCAACATGAACTGAAACACATTATTTATATCAGGAAAAACCCATATGTATACAAATCTCTTACCAATTCACCTCCCATGTTAAACTGTTTAAAGGTAATCAATGTAAACATTCTGTTACAAATATCACATATCACATCCATAGTGCGCCCTCTAGCGGCTATTTTAGGCAACTACAGTCATCTTGAAACAGTTTCCCTCATAAATTCAGATATTAAAATCAAACTTATTAACTACAAATAATAGTTGGACTTTCATAATGTATGCTAACTAGCATTAGCTTCTAGTGGAAGTAAATGCAGAGAAATATTATATTTAGTCGGCTCTTACCAATTCACCTCCCATGTTAAACTGTTTAAAGGTAATCAATGTAAACATTCTGTTACAAATATAATACTGATAATAATAATAGATCATCAATAAGTGAAAATAATGAGCTGTAGCCATCGGCCAATAAGAAGAAGCTCCACTGAACTGAAAGACTATCAGCTGATTAATAATAAGTGCTCCATGTGAAGATGTAAGTCCATTTGTAGAGAATAAGCTCTGTGTATGAGAGCGATGTAATGTCCATGTTTCCATGCTGCTCTGACCCCCCTCCTCCTTTCAGGGTGGAGCCTGCTGGAGTCCGATGGTTGAGACCAGGTCTGAGGAAGTGTAAGTGTGAAAACAAAGCAGCACACATTCAACCATCTTCACACTGTGACATCACTCATTCACAGCTCTGATGTCATCATCAAAGTGTCAATCAATGATCAGATGATAGATCAATAACTGCAGCTGTATTGTGTCTTGTTCTCTCCATCAGATTCCTGTGAACTCACAGTCGACACAAACACAGTGAACAGAAACATCAAACTGTCTGACAACAACAGGAAGATGATTAATGTGAAGGAGGTTCAGTCATATCCTGATCATCCAGACAGATTTGACTACTGGGATCAGCTGCTGTGTAGAAATGGTCTGACTGGTCGCTGTTACTGGGAGGTCGAGTGGAGAGGAAGAGTTTATATATCAGTGAGTTACAGAGGAATCAGCAGGAGAGGAGACAGTAGAGACTGTTTGTTTGGAGGGAATGATCAGTCCTGGAGACTGTACTGCTCTGATGATGGTTACTCTGTCTGTCACAATAAGAGAGGAACACCCATCTCCTCCTTCTCCTCCTCCTCCTCCTCCTCCTCTGGTAGAGTAGCAGTGTATGTGGACTGTCCTGCTGGCACTCTGTCCTTCTACACAGTCTCCTCTGACACACTGATCCACCTCCACACCTTCAACACCACATTCACTGAACCTCTTTATCCTGGGTTCAGGTTCAGCTCTGGTTCCTCAGTGTCTCTGTGTCCTCTGTAGGAGGGAGAGAGAAACTTTCTCACTGCTGACCAGATAGTTCAGTCTGTACAGGATCACACACAGCTGATGTTAGTTAGTACCAACCTGATGTGTTTACTGTAATAGAGGAGGAAGAGGAGGCTGAAGGAAGAGAAGAGCAAAGGATGCTGGGATGAAGGGATCATGTGTGAGGGTAATGTGCAGCCTGCAGACGTAGAGATGAAAGAAATGATAGAAAGAATTGATCTTCTTCTATAACTCTGAGAAAAATGAACATTTTTAGGATCAAATGTGGCTGCTTGTTTTTCAAATCTTCTTCTTTTTGAAAGCACAGTTAGAGGGAAAGTGTTTTTATGACTCAAATATTAAAGTGTGAACAAATATTCAACTTTGAGTCTAAAACTGAACTTTGTTGCCTTAAAACTTTTGTTTCTGTGAAGAAAAAATGTGTTCAAATGTCAAACAAGAGTCTTTCAGGATCAAATTCAGCATCTGTGTAAAAATAGTTCCAAGGTGTAAAGAGTGGCTTTGATTTGAACAAACT